GAGCTGTCACAGGAATAGATATATGCACACCCATGTTCATTGCAGCACTGTTCACAATAGCAAAAAGATGGAAACAACCTAGGTGCCCATCAACAGATGAACGGATAAACAAATTATGGTATATTCACACAATGGAATACTACCCAGTGATAAAGAACAATGATGAATCTGTGAAACATCTCATAACATGGATGAATCTGGAACTCATTATGCTGAGTGAAATTAGTCAATTGCAAAAGGACAAATATTATATGAGACCACTATTATAAGAACTTAAGAAAAGTTTAAACACAGAAGAAAACATTTTTTGATCATTACGAGGATAGGGAGGGAGGGAGAGGGGAATTCACTAACTAGATAGTAGACAAGAATTATCTTAGGTGAAGGGAAGGACAGTACACAATACAGGGGAAGTCACACCACTGGACTAAACCAAAAGGTAATAAGTTTCCTGAACACAAACACGTCAAGGGACAGTGTAGCAAGGGTAGGGGTCTGGGGACCATGGTTTCAGGGGACATGTAGGTCAATGGGCAGAACAAAGTTTATTAAGAAAATGTTCTGCATCTCACTTTGGTGAGTGGCATCTGGGGTCTTAAAAGTTCGTAAGCGGCCATCTAAGATGCATCAATTGGTCCCAGCCCACCTGGAGCAAAGGAGAATGAAGAACACCAAAGACACAAGGAAAATACTAGCCCGAAAGACAAAATGGGCAACATAAACCAGAGACTCCATCAGCCTGAGACCAGAAGAACTAGATGGTGCCCGGCTACCACCAGTGACCGCCCTGACAGGGAACAAAGCAGAGAGTCCGTGATTGCGCAGGAGAAAAGTGGGGTGCAGAATTCAAATTCTAGTAAGAAGGCCAGACTTAATGGTCTGACTGAGACTGGAGTAACCCCCATAGACATGGTCTCCGGACTCTCTGTTAACCCAGAGCTAAAATCATTCCCAACGCCAACTCTTCAGACAAAGAATAGATTGGACTATAAGACAGAAAATGATACTTCTGAAGAGTGTGCTGCTTAGTTCAGCAGACACACTAGACTAAATGGCAGCTCCTGTCCAGAGGCAAGTTGAGAAGGCAGAAAGGGATAGGAGCTGGTTGAATGGACACAGGAAATCCGTGGTGGAAAGGAGGAGTGTGCGGGCACATTATAGGGATAACAGCTAGGGTTACATAGCAATGTGTATATAAATGTTTGTATGAGAAACTAACCTGAGCAGTAATCTTTCACCTAAAGCACAATAAAAAAAATAATAAATAGATGCTTAAGGAAAAAAAAAAAATCTCTCAATCCAAACCCACTCTTCTTGAGTCGAAAAGAGAACTTCCTTAGCCTGATAATTATATCTATCAAATTCCCACAGCAAGCATCATTTTCAGTGGGAAAAACTTTGGATGCCACAATCTCATTTCACATACAACATGGTTTTGTAAGTCCCAACCAGAAGCGTGAAACAAGAAGGAATTAAAGGCATAAAGATTAGAAAGGAAGAGACAAAACTGTCTTATTGGCGAATGATACACTTAGCTTCATAGAAACCCCATCAACATATACAAACTATTAGAAATAATAAAAGTATTTAGCAAGGCTGGCTGTAAGATATATCTTACAACTTATAAGATTAATATTCTTTCTACTATATTAACTTCTGGATTTTGTACCTTGGGCATATATTGCCTAGCAAAGCTCTAATTATTTTAAAGGTGTCCCTTTGAAAAGCATATGTAATCTCCCATTCACCTAAAACGATGTGTGTATATTTTGTGCATAAAGAGGTACTAGAGAGCATGGTCAGCAAAATGTTACTTTCTTAGGGATAATTTTCACAGTGTAGTATGATGTCAGTTGATTTTGGTTTCCTCTCTTGGTTTTTAAATTTTTTTCATAATAATAATGTACTATTTTTAAATAAAAGTAAAGCTGTTTTATTGTGGGAAAATGAATAAATAAATCAACCTCTCAAAATAGATATTTCCATACTCTCTGGGAGGTTGGGTACAGAAACCCCTCATGTTTCTGAGTTCCCTGCTGATTCTGAGGATCGCATTTGGGAACTGCAGGGGCAGGATTCTTAATCCAATTTGAGATCATCATCTAAATTGCTAAAGCAAATGCACAAAACTCTTGTCTGAAACCCAAATGAGAATCAAAACAAAATGAGTCTCAGCCTGAATTTCAGAATCTCATCATAATGTTGGCTCACTGATTGGCACAGTTGCCCAGTTAACCAAGCCTCAGCCGGTCCCTGGCATCCCCAGCCTTAGTCTTTCCGTTGGAGTCTTTTTTAATCATCTACTGTTCTGGGCATTCTGGGATCAGAGCATGCCCTGAGGCAGGCCTCCCTCTGAACTTGGAAATACTCAAGGAAATGGGCAAAATTGTAGACCCTGATAGTTGTAGGAAAAGCCCAAAGGACAGTGAAAGCAGTAAAGCGGCGCAGTACCTTGAGGCAATGGTTTTGCCACAGGGCACGTTGCTTAGCTTGTGCTATCACCCCATCGATATCCAGAGCAAGTTCAAAATGCAACAGAGAGCGAAGGAACCTCCTACAGAGGAATGGACCAGGAGGCACTCTTCACCCATGCTCCAGGGCGGTGCCATTCCCATAGAATTCCATGCCAGCAATGCTCCCTGGGAGTCGGGCAGCCAGGACATTCTGCCCATAGAAGAACCTCCCCGTTAGTTGACTCTGATTTCCTAGAGCTATGTCAGCCACAGTGTCTGAAACCACCGTGGGGGGAGTGGTTTGTGGGGTACTACCACGGACTTCTGATCGAGGGTGGAGGTGTGATTCATCCATGTGTCATTTGTTGCTACAGGTTATATTGAAGCTGCTATCATTCCTGCTGGAGCTCGGAGGATCCGCGTGGTGGAGGATAAACCTGCCCACAGTTTTCTGGGTAAAAAAAAGAGAGAAAAAGGAAAGATTTGATTCACAATTTGTTTTCTGAGAACTGAATTTGATGATCAGGCAGGTAATTTGGTCAGTGTCGTTCTCCTAGGTGGTCACTGGTGGTATACCTGTATCTGCAATTGTAATAACATATGTACTCAGAGTGGACCAAACAGCACTGTCATATTTGGCTGGAGTGCAGCCACCCTCAAGGTGAGGGTAGTGAGTGGGGACCACTAGATTTGGATAGGAAGGAAGATGACAGAGAGTGAAGGAACTTGTGAGGAATCAGGGCAGAGTCAGTCCTGAGCCACACGTATCCCTTTGCCTAACTCGTGGGAAGCCCCTGTGGGCCTGTCAATGGCTCTGGGGATGCCTCCTTAGCTGGAAAAAGAACAACAGCCCTAAATCTAACAGAAATCCAGATGAAAACTGATTTTTCACTAAGTGCTATGTCTCCAAATTCCTAGAGGCCAACTCCGTTGATTTTAGACACAAACACCTGTGTCTTTCTATGCAAGGATCAGGTTTCATTCCAGGCAGTCTTCGTTATCTTAGAACCTGAGAAGAATTAAATTAAACTCTTCTTAGCCAAAGAAGGGAGTCCTTGGGTAGTGAAAACAGTTAACACACTCAGCTGCTAGCCTAAAGGTTGGAGATTTGAGTCCACGGAGGCTCCTTGGAGCAAAGTCCTGGCGATCTACTTCTAAAAAATTAGCCATTGAAAACCCTATGGAGCACAGTTCTACTCTGACACACATGGGGTCACCGTGAGTCAGAATCGAGTCAACAGCAACTGGTAAGTTCGTAGGTAACCGAAGAAGACCTTCTGAGTGTATTCTAAGCTCAGTCCCAACCTTCCCAGCATCCCCAGCAAAGTTCAGCCTGGTCCTGGCACACCAGGGTGGTTGGAGTGCTGAGTCAAACCTGTCAGTGTTCTTTATGCGGGTCAGAATCAGCAAACATTGCCGCGAAACAGAGCTGCCTGTGCTCTTACTTCACTGGGGTAGAACATTCTATGGCCCGTGTGCTTCGGTCAGCCCTTGTCGCATGTGCCTGCCTTGGGTTAAACTTCAACGTGGAGGTGACTGAAATGCGTAAGACATGATCTCACTGGCTTCAAACTTAAGAATTCAGTTATTTTTGCTAAAGGGAAGCTGCCCATGGAACCCTTTAATTTCAACTTTAAAAATTATGTCCTTGTCCATGTTCCTGTCTTTATAGACTTCACTGAAGTATCCAAGTCTCTCTTTGTAATGGTCTCTGTACTTGAGAAACTCGTAGTCTAACAAGACAGACACAAAACAAATCTCTAATAGTCAGGTGTACAGTGAAGACCACAATCGTCTTATTTAAGAGTCAGAAAACAGAAACTAAGGCGGTCCTTAAACATCTGCCTCAGGGAAGGGCAGGCGTGGTGCTGGGAGCTCTTGTTTCAGATCCCCACAGCAGGTCTCACTACACCCAGCACCCTGCCATGTGTGACCCTGCTGTAATCCATGCAGCCCTGCCATCTCCACCGCAGCTTTCCCCTCATCTGCCCACCACCACCCTGACTCCTGACACTGGGAGTAGCCACTGCCACACCTCCTGCAGGGTAAGACCTTGCTGTCCCTTGTGCTGACATCCACACTGCTCTTCATCAGGCCTGTGGGCTGTCATTCCTCTGACATGAACACTGTGCCCGCCTAGGCTGCCAGACCTCTGCCCGGCTGTCCTAGCTGGTGCTCTGCAAATAGAACAATGCTTAGAACTGTGCTTGCTAAGATAGGGCCTTGTGCTGCTTCTGGCAGCCTCGCTAGGGTGACCACCTTTTTGCTAAGTTCTCAAAGAGCTTTCCCCCTCACTCCCCACCCTCCAGCCACTGAAGGAAATTGGGACAACTTCACCAGTGTTTGGGTCAGAAGCCCCATCACCCCAGTGTCACGCCCAAAGGGTGGTGGTGGTGTTAGTTGGCTTCGAGTTGGCTCTATTCATGGCAGCACCACACGCAACAGAACGAAACGTTGCCCGGTCCTACGCCCTGTTCACAATTGTTGGCGTGCTCGAGTCTACTGTTGTGGTTATTGTGTAGTACCTTTCTACCTAAGGGGCTCATCTTCCAGCACTGTATTAGACAATATTCTGTTGTGATCTATAAGGTTTTCATTGGCTAATTTTCAGAAGTAGATCACTAGGCCTTTCTTCCTAGTCTGTCTTAGCCTGGAAGCTCTGCTGAAACCTGTCCACCATGGGTGACCCTGCTGGTATTTGAAATACTGATGGTATAGCTTCTAGCATCACAGCAACACAAAAGCCATCACAGTGCGAGAAACCGAAAGATAGGTGGTGGACCTAAACGTTACCCTTCTGTCTTAGTCATCTAGTGCTACCATAACAGAAATACCACAAGTGGATGGCTTTAACAAAGAGAAATTTATTTTCTCACAGTCTAGTAGGCTAGAAGTCCAGATTCAGGAAGTCAGCTCCAGGGAAAGGCTTTCTCTCTCTGTTGGCTCTGGAGGAAAGTCCTTCTCATCAATCTTCCCCTGGACTAGGAGCTTCTCTACACAGGAACCCCAGGTCCAAAGGACATGCTCTGCTCCCAGCACTGCTTTCTTGGTGGTATGAGGTCCCCCTGTCTCTCTGCTTGCTTCTCTCTTTTATATCTCAAAAGAGATTGGTTCAAGCCACAGCCCAATCTTGTAGATTGAGCCCTGCCTCATTAACATAACTCCCACCTATCCCACCTCATTAACATCACAGAGACAGAATTTACAACACATAGGAAAATCACGTCAGATGACAAAATGGTGGACAATCACACAACACTGGGAATCATAGCCCAGCCAAATTGACACACATATTTGTGGGGACCCAGTTCAATCCATGACACCTTCCAAATGATATGTTGGCTCTCCCTTACCTTTGGGAGACCTCCATGGGAGACTCAGGTAGCCTTTGATGCCTTATTAAAAAATCATAATCACAGTGTTCCAGGACCTGGCTCAATTCAAAGGTCAGTTTATTGGTTCTTCCACACATCACCAACAGATGGCCCAGCAAATAAGTTCCCTGGCTTCCAATCCTGGCTTCTCATAATTCCAACTCCATTCCTTCACCTGACCCCAGCCCCAGGGATCGGACTAAAATAGGGACTTTATCTCTACTTTCTGTGGCGTTATAAGAATGACAGAGGAGGTCAGAATCCTTTACATCACTCTTCAACTTCTCATTCCTATAGTAAAAATGAGCTTTTCACTGAAACTCATTTTAGAGTCAGTTAAGGAATAAACAGTGGATGCTGCACAGGGAAAGGAGCACTTACGATTATCAGTGTGGGCTCCTGAAGCTTAAAGGCCACAAATAATAACACCAGGATTAATAACTCCCAGTCATCAAGCCCCTGCTGTGTTTGAGACCTTATCTCTAATCTCCCTTGTTGTTATTGTTAGTGGCCATCCAGTGTACTCCAACTCATGGCTACTTCACGTACAACAGAACAAAACGTTGCCTGGTTCTGCACCATCTTCATGATAGTTGGCTCAAGTCCGTTGTTGTGTCCACCGTGTATTTGAGTGCCTTCCAACCTAGGGTACTCATCTTCCAAAACTATATTGGACAATACTCTATTGTGATCCCTTCTGTTTTTGTTGCCTAGTTTTCAGAAGTAGTTCTCCAGATCTTTCTTCCTAGTCTGTCTTGGTCTGGAAGCTCCACTGAAACCTGTCCACGGTAGGTGACCCTGCTGGCATTTGAAATACCATTGGCATAGCTTCCAGCATCACAGCAACATGCAAGCCACCACAGTACTACAAACTGACAGAAGGCTGGTGACTAATCCCCCCTAGTGTACTGCAAAGTATCCCTAAGCTCAAGTATTCCTAGGCTAAGGGGTTCTGTGGTGCAGTGGCTAAGAGCTCGGCCGCTAACCAAAAGCTAGGCAGTTTGAATCCACCAGCTGCTCCTTGGAAACCCTATGGGGCAGTTCTACTCTTTCGTATAGGGTCATTATGAGTCGGAATCAACTCAATGGCAAAGGATTTGGGTTTTTTTTTTTTTTTTTTTTTTTTAGGGGTTCTGTAGCGGACCCAATTTCTCACCACTAGTGAGTGTAGACCTGGAATCTGAATCTAAGCCTGCTGCCATTCGCGGAGCTTCTCAGCATGGCTCTGAGGTGTTCAATCACAGCAGGCAATGGACTGGTAGAGAAGACCCTTGACTGGAGAGCACATGTTAAACCTGCGCAGTGCTACCGCTTACCGTGTGGACTTCAGAGAAGCGAGTGCCCATCCCAGGAACTGGGCTAATGTCTCAGGATGGCTTCTCAACTCCCTCATCTCAGAAATCATAATCCAGGGCCTGGCGTGCCAGCAAAGCACGAGCGTGAAGGTGGTCCACGCTTGTTAGATTCCTAAAGTCAGTTCAAACAGGACTTGTTTCCACTCAGGGCTGGGTGCTTTGGAAGTCAACCCAGTGTAATGTTGAGTTGCTCTCACATTTGCTGGGAGCAGTTGCTGAAGAATTCCGCCCCACCTACCTTCAGCCCACGCGGCTGGCTGGCTGGCTGGCTGCTCAAAACCACCTGGAACAGGAAATGCCTCTGCAGTTTGTATCCATAGCTGAGGACGGAGCTGGCGAGACTCCGAGTGGAAATAAAAGGCGTTGCTGACTCGATGCCAGGAGCAGCGGGCTGTTGACTGTGGGTCAGGTCCTCCAGTTGCATCCAGAAAGGAGAAGAACAGACCCCACTGTCTGCACAACTCTGGGCCCCAAGAGGGAGGGGAGGTAGGGTCATGCCTCTGCCATCGGCCCCCAGCCAGCTCTGAAGGGGAGCCCTACCCTCCCATCAGCAATGCCCCTACTGGTTCCCTGGAATGGCTCAAGATGTCCCAGAAATGGTGCATGAATGTCCACAGAGAGCAAAAACAACACAAAATGGAAGTGGACTTCAGCATGTGACCTCAAGTTCCAGGTCACTGAGGAGCTCCTGTTCCGCCGTAACATCAAAGGAAGGAACACACACAC